CCTTATAATCAACATTCAGGTCTCAGCTTCACTGGCACCTCATCAGAGAGGCATCCCTCTTGGCCACATTCTGCATCACATGTCTCTGTTATCACCCCCTGGCAGCGCCTGCCCCTCTGGGACAGTGATTTCCCCACTCTTGCTTGGACAGTGATCCTCTCTGTGCTGCCACAATATATTGTAAGTGCCCAGTTCCTTGCTCAATGCATAGTGAAAACTCAGTGCACAAGGCTTTTTTTTTTTTTTTTTTTTTTTTTAATGAACGAGAGTTTTGTTTGGGGAATGGATAAACTACCTTCTCTGTTCACTGTTGAGACAAGTAGTCATTCATTGGTCAGTTCGGTGAGCACTTAGAGATCGCCTGCTATGTGCCCTGGCAGACGGATATAAGTAAGATCCAGTGGTTTCTGAATCATGCTTACTATCACCCTACCTTGGGGACAATCCGATATGTTACTGTCATGCAGGTTGGAGGCACTGCTGCTGCTTGGTGGGCAGAGCCCAGGGTCACTCAACACCTTCCCATGCATGAGGCATTCCTGCATGAGGAGGAACCATCCGAGCCAATGCCATCTCCACGTCACATTACAAAGGTTCCTTGCAGAACCCACTCTGACTGTGCAGTAAGACACTTATGTATCAGTGCACAGGCCAAGAGAGACATCAGCAGTCTAACTTTGAGCCTGGGCAGGAAGGTGTGTGTGTGTGTGTGTGTGTGTGTGTGTGTGTGTGTGTGTGTGTGTGTGTGTTTTCCAAGATGTGTTCATTTATCTATTTGGCATTTGAAAGACATTGCCAAATCACCCAAGGTTGGAATGGTGTAGAATTAGAAAATTTTCTCCTGTTTGAGAAAACCTTCAATTAAATCTTATTTTCACCTGCTCTCAGCTCTGTGTCCAAATTGTGTGATCTCCAAAATTTAGCCACACTAGTTCTTCAGATATGTAGCTAAAATATGTTAGGATTTAGGAAATATGAGTAGGATTTAGCTGAGCGGTTAAACTGTTGATTGGGATGCCCACAACCTACCTTAGAATGTCTAGGATTGAGACCAGCTCTGCTCCTAAGTCCAGCTTCCTCCTAATGCATACCCTGGGAGGCAAAAGTAAACGATTAAGTGTCTAGGATACTGATTTCCATGTGGGAAACCTGGAATGAGTTCTGGGATCCCAACTTCAGCCCAACCCAGGCTGTGCTGCATTTGGGGCATGGGGTAGAGTGGCAGTATACCAGCAGATAAAGTCTGATTGTATGTCTGTCTGTCTTTCTTTCTCCCTCTCTCTTCACTCCTCCCCTTCCTCCCTCAATCTAGTTCTCAAGTAGACAAATATTAAAGGAAAAGCGAATACATACACAGGCTCCTTTGAGAGGCAGAGCGCACCATTGGAAGGTGCTATATTGCTAATTGGGTCTCCTTCTTTCTAGAGACAGGGGTTGGCAATTTGTGTGGCCTTCCTGGCATTGTGCTCTTCTTCCTGCCAATTGCTCCAAGGAGCACCTAGGGGAGCCTCAGGGAGAGGGCCAATTTCTCTGTTACATCCACAGCAGAACTCCCAGGTGTGAGTAATGCTGTCACTTGAAGCATCTTGGAGAGACTCTGGGGAGAGCTGCAGGAAATTACAGTGCGTTGCAAGGAACTGATGCTGGGAGGAAAGAAAATCTTAAATCAAGAGAGAGAGAAGAAAGAAAGAAAAGGCACATCGAGGCAGCTGTGAAGCTAGTTTGTTTTAATTCTCTGTCTACAAGAAGTCCAGCTTCAGGGTGTGCATCTGGGGTTGGATTTGTCCCTTGTGGCAGGTGCATTTAAAAAATGACACCACAGTTGGACCACTCTTTTCTCCATTGCTATCCTTCTGAGTTGGCACTCGCTGCCAGTCACCTCTCTCTAAAATCCCACTCAACTTCGAACTTCAGACTTCACGTTCTACGGGAGAGTAGCAAAATTTGGAGCAGGGTGTAAATGTTGATGTTGGAGGTGTCTTCCTTGGCAGGCCTCCAGCTCTTGAACACACGGTGCTTTTCTGAGCCTACAACAAAGCGTAGCTCTAATGGGGATGTTTGGGAACTTTTAAGATAACAACACAACTATTCCCTGAAAATGAATTACCACCAACTTTGAGCTGAAACAGACAGAGGTAATTCGTTGAAATGTAAAAGCTGTCTTTTACTTATACTCTTCTATAGGAAGAGTTCCAAAAACAAACACACACACACAAACAAACAAAAAACTGTTCCAGCTTTGCGTAGTAGTGTGGTTGGTTTTATTTGCTCACCCTGGCCAGCAACAGCACTAAATGTTAATCTTCCCCGGAGCCTATGGAATGGATTCTCGTACTAGCCCTACCTTGAGCACAAGGACATTGAGATCGTACTGGTGTTTATTCCGGGTCCCACGGGTGCTGAAGAGCAGGGATTTGAGATCAGGTGAGTCTGTCTTAGGAGACAGAGCTCCTAATTACTGTACTGCTGTATTGTGCTGCCCCAGTGTTAGTATCAGAATTCCATGGAGGCTCTGTGCAAACCTATATCGCTGACCTCACCTTACAGTTTGATTCTGAAATGGCTCGGGGAACTTGCAACTTTAGCAGGTTCCCACATGAGGCCAGATCTGCCAGTCAGGGATCTCACTTTGAGAATCCGTATTATGCTACATCCCATCTTCCAAAAAAGAGTGTAAGCACTGACTAGAAACCGTGAATGAAATGCCCGGGGTTGGCACTGACCATATCATTAGCATGTACACACACAGAACTAATAGCCTAGTTGCTACTAGAGCACCTCAGAGGCTGGTGTCATGAGACCCAGATAATTGACCTGTTGGAGGTGTTATTCTGGTATTCCCCGAGCTGCCTGACATTTCCAAGAATATAACTGCAGCCATAAAATTAAATAAATAAATAAATGTATGGTGCAGTGGGTTATCTGGTGCGTAGGCTAAGCTGCTGACTGTAACACCAACATCCCACATCCATCGCAGATCAGAGCACCTGCTTGGCTGCTTTGTTTCCAGTCCAGCTGCCCACTGATGTCCCCGGGAAGGCAGATGAGTAATGGCCCAAGTACTCGTGACTCTGACACCCATATGGGAGACCCACATGGACTTCCTGGCTCCTAGATTAGAACTGACCCAAACCTAGCTATTGTGCCATTTGGAGAGTGAACCAGTAACTCCATATTTCTCTCTACCTGTGTGTGTGTGTGTGTGTGTGTGTGTGTGAGACACTGCCTTTCAAATAAGTAAGTAAATCTTTTAAAAACGTGTTACCACCAGTCCCTGGTATGAATAAGCTGGTTTTGAAGTTTGCTTGTGTTCCATCAGCATTTGTTTTTCACACTAGTCTTAATTATTTTCTTTTGGTGTAGTAAAATCTCATATTTAGTGTCTATGTAAGCGCCATGACTGTTACCTTTAAAGAATGTTACCAGAATACTTTTAGTGTGCACACGGGATAGAAGTACTGTGAAGGAAGGCTAACACATCTTGTGTCCTATAATCTGAAAGAAACTCCATTGCAGAGTTTACTGATCGCAGGCACTTTGAGGACAGATTTTGTATTCTTGGTCCTTGGCTGAATTGAGTTTCTAAAGGTGCATTTGAAACCTGAAACAAAGCAGGTAATTGACTCAGAAGGCTCTTGGGGTGCTTCCAGAGAAAGGTTTGGGGGCCTTACCTTTCTGCTGTCTCACTGCAAAGATAACAGCCAAGCGTGAGACCGCCAATAAATGCACACAGTTGCGCCAAAGGCACACCGCCAATAGACTACAGATAGCTGCGCTACAGGTCGGGACAGGAAAAAACTCCATTCCGAAGTGCACTGCAGAAGTTTGCTGTAAGGCATGTTGTAGTGTTGTATGGAACTGCACATTACAAACATTCTAAAGGAAAAAAGAGAAAGGGGGAGTGTGGGATTCCTTTAGCTCACTTTTCCACCTGTCTGAAGAAGGAACTTTAAAAACGATCAATTATCCGGTGAATTCATGGGTGGTTTTTTACGGGTGTCAGTGTGTGAAGAGAGAATAAGCTACCTCTGCAGGTTGTGGCAGCAGCTAGACAAGTCCAGAGGCTAAGTCTCCCAGCAGCCCAAGTTCCATAGCCTTTCCCAGCAAAGAACTGGAAGCTGCTTTAGGGGACGGAAGCCCTTGGTTTTTTTACTCCTGACCTGACTGCTGAATTGGCATCCCCCGCTGAGAGCTGCCCCTCTCCTGCTGGCCAGCAGGACAAGCCCTCAACTTGTCAGAGACCCCCAAGTTAGAAGCAACAGCAGGTTCTGGAGGCACACAAACAGTACTGTTATCTTTGAAAACTGGCATCTTCTGTGGCTCCAGCAGAGCCAAGGAAACCTGCAGGGCTGTTCCCCCAGGAATAGGGTCCCCAGGGATGCTGTAGAGGGTTATTTTGTTTGTTTGTTTTGTTTTCCCTGTTGCATCTGTGGCTTCCTCGGAGCTGTTTATCAGTGTGGACAGAACAAGATGCCGAGCCGGAGACCCTATCGTGAGATATAAGGTGTTTCCCAAGCCGGCTGAGGGAGTGTGTGTGTGTGTGTGTGTGTGTGTGTGTGTGTGTGTGTGTGTGTGCAGGACGTGCAAGCCTAGCGCAGTGAAATGCATCTCGCTTTGCCTGCGAAGTGTTGCTCCGCGTCCCTTCCTGCCCCGCGCCTTCGGGGAGCGCCAGGGGGAGTCCTCGCCGGCCAGGGCTTCCCGAGCCCCAGGAGCACCGAGGGTTTGCCTGGCGGAGCTTAGCGCAGCTGGCTCTGCTCGCTGCGGGCGGGGTGGACACTGGGCTTCTGTGTGCCAGCCGCAGCCGTTGGCTGACGGGCGCCCAATCCCGGGGCATGCAGCCGGAGCCTGCTCAGGACTCACGGTGACCGACGAGTTCGGTGTCTGACTCAACCCTAGACTGCCAGCAGACGTTCGGCGCCCGGGAGCCCTGGGTAGTGGGACCGCACGGGCCGGGACTGCAGCTGTGGACTGCAGCTTTGAACGCCGGAGACCCCGCTCCCCCGGGATCCAAGGGAAGCAGGAGGCTATGGCTTCAGTATTCATGTGCGGGGTGGAAGACTTGCTGTTCAGCGGTAGCCGCTTCGTGTGGAACTTGACGGTGTCCACGCTGCGGAGATGGTACACGGAGAGGCTGCGGGCTTGCCACCAGGTGCTGCGGACGTGGTGCGGGCTGCGGGACGTGTACCAGGTGAGCCGAGGCGAGCTTCGGTCCTTACAGGATAGCTGGTTCCACCTGTATGATTTTTATTCTTTGTCTCTCCCCTTCACCCTACCTCGCTTTTTCAAAACTCCTAGCGGGCTGCGTAGCCCTTGGATCAGATGCAGACCATCTCGGATTAACTGTTGCCTGACTTAGCTTGTGCATATGGGGCCTGAGAAAGGGGCACTGGTGAGCCAGTACCAGCCAGCATCAGCGGGCGTCAAGAGCCACGGTCCTCTCTGGGCGCATAGCTCAACAGCCTGCAGCTTTATGGAAAGTGACTTTCGACTTTCACATGACCACTGTCTTTTTTTTTTTTAGTTTAGTTTTCCCCCAGGGATGGGAGACAATATGAGGGTGGCCATTTCAGAAACCAGGGTTCACCTCGGTTGACTGTCCCAGTGAGATGTGGTGGGGAGGCCTTAGTGGGTATTTCATTTTCTTTCAGTTTTCCGTCAGGCAGCCTCCACTTGCAAGACAGAGCCAGGAAAAGCTGATTCTGCGTCTACTGGCTTTTGGAAAGAACAGCAGACTGTGACTGCTCTGCGGGAAGGGTGACAAGCTGGGGAAGGGAAGGGTGGCCCTGCTGCGTGCTGGAAGGCTGACATGGGGATGGATTCCCCCGCACACAACACCGTCACCTCTGTTTCCCTGCTGAGTCCCCGAGTGCAGGTGAAATCTGCAGCAACTTTTGTTCAACTGGAAGGCTGTTCTTCCTTGTCTGGGACTGCAGCTTTGCCTTGTTTTTGTTTTCTTTTGTTTTTCAACTGTAATTTATGGGTTGCTAAGTCCTAAGCTTTGGTTGTTAATATTTTTGAGGCTTAAAAAAAAAATCTGCTTTGTTGAACTAGGAAGATTATGCCTGACCTTTACTATGGGAACATAATCTAGTCCTGCATTTTCTTTTGTTTTTTTTTTAAGAGATTTATTTATTTATTTACTTTTTATTGGAAAGTCAGATTTGCAGAGAGGAGGAAAAGACAGAGAGAAAGATCGTCTGGTCACTGGTTCACTCCCCAAGTGGTTGCAAAGGCTGGAGTTGAGCTGATCTGAAGCCAGGAACCAGGAGCTTCTTCTGGGTCTCCCATGGTGGTACAGGGTCCCATATCTTTGGACTGTCCTCTGTTACTTTCCAGGCCACAAGCAGGGAGCTGGATGGCAAGTGGAGCAGCAGGGATTAGAACTAGCTCCCATTTGGGATCCTTGCAGATGCAAGGACAGGATTTAGCCATTAGGCTACCATGTTGGACCCAGTCCTGCATCTTCTTTCCAGTGGTATGGAATGGCTTGGTTGCATGTCATAAAGCAGCTGGCTTTGACAAGCCAGGTTTCCATGTACCGGGCACTAAGGTTACACTAAGGAAATCTGAAGAATCTGTACCTGTCAAGCTGATTGACATGTGAACAGCCTTGAGAACTGTGCTTTGACAGCCCCTGCTTTGTGTAACATGTCTGGCAATCTCGTGTGTTTCCAAACTGAATCCAAAAGCCACGTTTGAGAACCCATGGGCAGCACATGAGGGTTGGAGAGTACAGGCAGCTGTGGACACAGCCCATCTGGCCACCTGACACAGCTGCCCAAGGCCAAGGGAGGGTCTGTCTTTTAGTCTTTTCCCCCTTCTCTCTCCAGGGGAAGTCCATGGTCTGTTTGCATTGACTCCTAGGGGGAAGAAAAGTGACCACTGAGTTTAAGAGTCTCAATTTCTTTGGAGAAATAAAATTGTAAAAGATGTTTTTAGCCTTAGGAGAACCATAGTATTCTCAATCTCAGAATATATATATATTTTAAAAATTGTTTATTTATTATTTATTTGTTTGTTTGGTTGAAAGGCAGGGAAAGGGGAAGACATAGGGAGAGAGGAAAAAAAAATTTCCATTCACTGATTCACTCTCTCAATGACCACAATAGCCAGGGCAGGGCCAGTCTGAAAGCAGGAACTGGGAATTTGGTCTTGGTCTCCTGCATGGGTGACAGAGGCCCAAGTGCTTGAGCCATTTTCGCCTCCACTTGGAGTCACATGAACATGAAGCTGCATTGGAAGCACAACCGGGACTCAAACCAGCACTTCAGTGTAGACTGCTGGCATTGCAAACTGCAGCTTAACTCACTGTGCCACTCTGTCAGCTTCTGGAATCATTTTCTTAATGTCTTTAAAATATTGAGCAGGAAAGTAGTGATTTAACTTGTGTAGAATGGAAAGGCAATAAAGCAAAGTGATTAATGTCTTGGGATCCTGGTAAAAGAGGCCAGGCAGTGGTTCCAACCTCAGTCAATGAATGACCAAAGGAAAGTAGATCTTACTAGGCTCCAGTCTCACTACTTTGTAAATTCTTATTTCCTTTCATTTCATGAGAATATGAAAGACGTCATTTTGGAATCCAATGACTGCATTAAACAACTAGTATAGCAAATATAAATGATTCACCATTAATTTCAAGCATATTTCTGCAAAATATATGAAACATCTAAGGAACAGTTTTGGGGGAAATGTTTTATAGGATCTCGTATAGTCCTTGACTCAAAAGAATTTACAACGGGAAAAGTAGTATTTTTTTTCTAAGTTCAAATTCTTATTTACTTCTTCCCTTTTTTTGCTCCCTCCTTTTCTTCCCTCCCTCCCTTCTTTGTCTGTCTGTCTATGTATCTATGTATCTATCTATGTATCTATCTATCTATCTTTTTTAGTAAAAAGACCATGGTTCCATGACCATATAGGCAAGGGCCAGAAACAACACTCAAATGAAAAGGTATCGGTTCACTCATATATAATAAATTTCAAAATAATCACAGATCCATTTTTTTAAGATATATTTATTTTTATTACAAAGTCAGATATATCGAGAGGAGGAGAGACAGAGAGGAAGATCTTCCATGCTATGATTCACTCCCCAAGTGACCACAATGAAGCCGGGAACCAGGAACCTCTTCCAGGTCTTCCACGCGGGTGCAGGGTCCCAAAGCTTTGGGCCGTCCTCGACTGCTTTCCCAGGCCATAAGCAGGGACCTGGATGGGAAGCAGAGCCACTGGGATTAGAACTGGCGCCCATATGGGATCCCTATGCATTCAAGGCAAGAACTTTAGCTGCTAGGTCATGCCACCAGGCCCCACAGATCCATTTTTAACATGGGCTATAACAATCACCAAGGTTGAAATTAGGTTCATTGACATTTAAGATGTTTAGCACAGAGCCTATAGCTTAGGAGGCAGTCAATGGTTGTTATCCGTTTTGACAGCTAGTATTTCTCTTGAACCCCAAGTCACACTCCCCTGCAGGCTAACAAGAAGTGACTTTGGACACAACTGAAAAGTGCAGCGTTAGAGAGGACCTTGGGGATGACTTGATCAGTGCTGATGCTCTTCTGGTTCCTTCAACTCTGGCTCCATTGGCTTTAGTCTCACGTTGCTTCTTTCCTCCTTAAGCAGACAATTGCAATAGTTTCATGCCTTAGATACATGGATGAACCTATCAAGAAACAAATAAAATTTCTAGTACTAGCTCCTCCCCCTCCCCGCCCATTCACAAGAAAAATTCCCAGTTGGTACTTTGAGAGTTCAGTTTAGGCTCTGTGGCCACCCTAATACCATGCACTGTTTAGCATAGGGAATAACATTGCAATTCATGCAGTACCAATGGCAGTGGTGGCTCCCAAAGGACAGATCTTTGGGGAAAGGTGGCACAAAAATTTATTCCTTTTTTTTGTAAGCCGCCAGTATACATAGAGTACGTAAACACCCATACAGCTTATCTGTGGCATTACACCTTGGGAAGGGAGCTGGCCAATAATCAAAATAAAATGTCTAAAAAGGCTTCTTAAGGGAGTGATCATGAATAGAAAGTTGAGAAGCATTGGATTATCCTGGTTGGTTTAAGCAAAGGGACCTGTTTCTAAAGCTGGAATCAAAGTTGTGGCCTGCTGGACCACATATCTGCCCAACAGTGAGGAAGACTACAATACTTAGTTGAACACAGCCAGTGATGGCCACTACATCGTTGGAATCACAAATCCAGCCCTGCTTATTATTATTATTATTATTTATTAATCTGAGAGGCAGCAGGTAACAGGCAGATTAGACAGAGAGAGGATGAGAGAGTGGCTCACTGGCTCACTCTCCCAGTGCCACAAAAAACAAGATTCAGCTTTTTGGGCCAAAACTGAGAGCTGGAACTGCAATCCCAGGCACCCATATGAGTGACAGGAACCTGGTTACTTAAACTGTCAGTACTGCTTCTGGAGTCTGCATGAGTAAGAGGTTGTTATCAGAAGCTAGAGGCAGGTGTCAAAGCCAGGTACTCCAGCATGTAGCGTGGTATCTTAATCAACATCTTAACCCCTAAGCCACGCCCATCCTTAGCACTTTTTAAATTACAAGATTGTTTTTCGAAGTAAACATGAAGGTTAATGCACAGCATCATTGTGAGGATTTATGCCACAGTCATTTGAGCTAAGGATTGGTGGTTCGTTGCTCTCCCACAACTGTGAATTCTGAACCATGGGGATGAGTGCTCTGGTGGACTGCACAGCTTCAGGCATGAGAATTGGAAACACACTGACAAGTTATATATTTTAGTAAATCCACATTATAAACACCCTATTGATTTTTTTTAAAGTGTCATTTTTCTTGCTCCTGATTTGAGTAGTGTTGTTTGTGAGGAAATCCAAAGCTCCATTATTCTGGAGAGAAGAAAGGGCGGTGCAGGAGCGATCCATTACATGAATGCTGTGGTGTGGCCGTGCCCTGGAGGAGTTTAGTGTATTCCTATACTCTGAGTGAAATAAGATCTCACACCTATTCATAAGGTATTTGGCAGTGGCATTCTGGTCTGGCTAGCAAAGCCAGGAAAGCATAATTTCTTTGGAATTAAACACTTCCTCCACTTCTAGATATTGGAGAGGCAAATGGCTTCATTTGCCAACAAACTATGAATTATTAAAATACTAGCTATAAAGCATTCCTGTAGTAAGTGATGTGAGTAAATAAAAAGCA